GGGAGCAGCGGGCGGCAGGAGAGGTCTGCGCGCCATGTGGGACCCTCCTCCGGGTGGCCGGGGAGCAGCCGGGGATCAAACCGGCGCTGCAGAGGCTGCGGGCAGCTTCGCAACCCAGCACTCAACCGCTGCGCCACCAGGGAGGCCCCATTTGTATATTTTTCATTTTTTTAAGCAATATAAATTACAGAAAGTAAAGTTTTCTTGTTGGAGATATACAAAAGATTGTGTGAGAAAAATGCCAGGGTTATAGATGATAAAGGTTAAGAATAAAATGATAAGGAGGTAAGACTGATTATTTATTAACATACCAAAATGAATGAAACCTTTCAAAAGCGTTATATAGGAGCAAAGTTTTTGATAATTCTTTAAAAGTTACAAGCATGTAATCATATAGTTGAGCAAGTCTAAGAAGACATGAATGGAGTCCATACTGTAATCAAAACTCACTGACACACAATAGCAGCCTTATTTGTAGGGTACTTTACAGTTTATATAACTTTCCCACATTCTCTCATAGCCATATATTTAATGATAGACCTAATTGTCCTACATGCTAATTAAGCTTAATTAGTAAGTTCTTTTGAATGACTGTAATTAGTGCAACTGGTTTGCTGCCAAAGCAAATTTCAGTTCTCCTTTAACTTTATTCGTTATCTAGTATTTATATTCAGGACCAGCATAAATCATATTCCATTTTGTGTCATACACACTGATTCTCCTGTTTATTTAAAAACAAACTCCTGAGTCACCACTTCTACATAGCTGAGCTTCCCTTGCTCTGGACCTTTTCTTGTAAAAACTCTCAACCCCTGTCAGTCTCTCCCTATTCCCTTATCTCTCCCACTAGCCCTCATCTACTCACACTTGAGAGAGACTTGTGTGCAATATTCACCAAAATATATTTATTGAGCACTGTGTGCCAGAGACTGAACAAGGTTCTTTCATTTATTTTTAAAAAGATTTATTTATTTATTTATACAAGCACTGGGTACAGTCAGAAGTGCGGCGGGGCAGGGTGGGGGGGGTGTGAGATGTGAGAGAGTTCACCAGAGCCGAGAGCAAAACAGACAGACTGACGAAGTACACTGCTGAGGGGGGCAGTGGGCGGCAGGAGAGGTCTGTGCGCCATGTGGGACCCCTCGCCAGCGGCTGGGGATTAAACCGGCACTGCAGAGGCTGTGGGCAGCCTCACAACCCAGTGCTCAACCGCTGCGCCACCAGGGGAGGCCCTGAACAAGGTTCTTGAAACATACACAGTAGTTGGCAAAGCCTCTTTGGTCTTTGCCCTCATGTTGCTCAAGACTAATTAGGCAGCAAAGCCTGATCTGGGGTGGGGGAGGTGGGCAGGAAATTAGCAGCCCTATTTTACTCTCTTGCAAAGTACAAACCCAGCGTTTATTATGGGTCTCCATCTGCCTTTTCTCTCATATGATTCAGCACTCAGGGAAAACACAATACATAGATTACACTTTCTCTTCTCCCCAGCACAGGATGCTAGATGTGAGAATGCCTGGGACCAATAACCTGGAATTAAGTAAATGCAGTGAAATAGGAATTGTGAGTTGGAGATATTATTATAGACGCAAGGTCCCAGAGGAGAAATAGCACTTGCAGAGGCTCTGAGGCAGAAAAGAACATGGCAGGTTTATAAAGCTCATTTAGAATAGTTGGAAGGGTTGATGCAACAGGAGAAATGACTAGAAGACTGGAAAGGTGGAGGGTCTTAGAGCCAAGTTAATAACTTCATCTTGAGGGTAATCAGAAGCTATGGAAAGGTTGTGATGACATTTCCCTTCTCTTTGCAACTCAACTCATCTCTTAGGTAGAGATGCTGTGCAGACAACTGTATGTCCTTTCATGCTGAATCACGTGGGTGGATTAGCAGAAATCATGCTTAGGAGCATACAGTAGAGAATATAAGCTTCAGAGTCAGAATGGTTGGGTATGTGTATATGATGTCAAACAAATTCTTTGACCTCTCCAGGCCTTTTCTGTACAACTGATAATTTTGCATTTATAACCCCCATCAGGTAGAGTCAGAAATAACAAGTAGGATGCCTATGGCTGCCACTCTGTTGGTAATAGCTGTCACTTTTTTAGCATTGCTTTCTTGTCAACACAATTTGTTAACACAATCTTGTTAATACAGATTTCAAAGTTCTCTCTTAGAATGGAATGGAATTACATTCCATTACAATCATATTATCAAATTGTGAAGAAATCTTAAAGATCTGACTGTATGTGATGCCTGCATTCCTTCTGAAGACAATCAATTGGTTCGTTGTCTACAGACGCTCACTATGGTCTGAAGCAATCACTCCATGTTTGAGCTCAATTAGAAGGTTTTCTTATTTTCTTAGACTGAATCCAAATCTGCTTTCCTGTGACCTTTAACAAGGGGTCTTGGTGATACCAGAATGCCACCCAGACTTGGTTCCTTTGCCCAACAAAAGGAAATAGAGCTTGAGGAGAAGGAAAGAAGTTTAATTTGTCAACAAATTGAAGAGGGCCGCAGACTAGCGTCTGAAAGACCACTGTCCTGCTCTTGGGGCACTGCACACAGTTATCAAAGCTATCCTTTTGGCCCTCATTTACTGAGCTATCTTTTTTTTAAAATAGCCTTCTTCAGCAATTATTATTATTATTGAGACATTATTCACATAACATAAAATTCACCCTCTTTTTTTTTTTTTGAAGATTTATTTATTTATTTATACAAGCACTGGGTACAGTCAGAAGCGCAGGAAGGTGAGAGAATCCACCAGAACCAGTGCGGGAACAGAACAGGCAGACTGAGGATACACTGCTGAGGGGAGCAGCGGGCGGCAGGAGAGGTCCGCGTGCCATGTGGGACCCTCACTGGCAGCCGGGGATCAAACTGGCGCTGCAGAGGCTGAGGGCAGCTTCGCAGCCCAGCGCTCAACCACTGTACCACTGGGGAGGCCCAAAATTCACCCTCTTAAAGTATTCAATTGATTTTTAGTATATCCACGAAGACTGTGCAACTGTCGCTGAATCTAATTCCAGGTCTCATTCATCTGATACAGAGATACTCCCTGTTGCTGTCCTCCATCCCTAATAACTCTAAGCTACTTCTGTCTTTACAAATTTGCCTATTCTAGACATTTCATAAAAATGGAATAGCCCAATATGTGATGTTTTGTGTCTGACTTTTTTAAAAAAAGATTTATTTATGCGTACAAGAACTGGGGTACAGGCCGGAGGTGTGGGGGAGCGTGAGAGGATTCACCAGAGACAGAGTGGGGAACAGAACAGGCAGATCTACTGAAATACACTGCTGAGGGGAGCAGCAGGCAAGACAGAGGTCTGCTGGGCCATGTGGGTAGCTCCCTGGCCGGCTGGGGATCAAACTTGTGCTGCAGAGGCTGCGGACAACTTCACAGTGTGCTGTGTTTAACACCATGTGCCACCAGGGAGGCCCTGTGTCTGACTTCTTTCATTTACTGTGAATGTGTTTATGGTTCCGCATGTTGTAGCATGCAGCAGTACTTCATTCCTTGTTAGAGCAGAAATAATGTTCTATCATGGGTCTGTCACATTTTGTTTATCCATTTATCATTTGATGGACTTTGGGTTGTTTCTATCTTTTGGATATCATGAACAGTGGTGCTGTTAACATTCATGTGCAGTTTTGTGTGGGCATCTGCTCACTTTCCCTTACATACACAACTAGGAATGCAATTGTGCATCGTAGGGTAACTCTATGTTTAAACGTTTGAGGAATTGCCAGACTTTTGAAAGGGCTGTGTCATTTTACATTCAACATGTATAAGAATAAATACAACAATGTATGGGGGGATCCAATCTTGTCACATCCTCCCTAACACTTGTTATTACTCATCTTTTTTATTATAGCCATCCTGGTGGGTGGAAAGTGGTATTTCATTGTGGTCCCGATTTTCACTTCCCTAATGTCTAATGATGTTGAACATGTTTTCATGTGCTTGTAGGTCATTTATACTGGGGAAATATTCAAATTCTTTGGCTTTTTTTTTTTTTTATGATTGATTATTTATGCATACAAGAACTGGGGTACAGGCCAGAGGTATGGGGTGAGAGGATTCACCAGAGACAGAGTGGGGAGCAAAACAGGCAAACTGACTAAAACACACTGCAGAGGGGAGCAGGGGTGAGACAGGAGAGGTCTGCTGTGCCATGTGGGTAGCTCCCTGGCCAGGGATCAAACTCATGCTGCAGTGGCTGCAGATAGCTTCATAGGTTGCATCTTAACCCCTGCAAGCCCTCTTTGGCCATTTTTTAAATGGGTTATCTTTTTGTTGTTGAGTTGTAAGAGTCCTTTATTGATTCTGGTTACTAGACCTTTATCAGATAAATGTTTGTAAATATTTTCTCCCATTCTGTGTGTTTAAATTTCTTGAAGTGTCCTTTGAAGCACTGCTGAACTACTTTTAACAAATACTAAAACATCTTTAACCTGGGAATATTTCATTGGTGTCTATACTTTAAAATTGAGTAAGCGTTGTTATTTTGCAAGCAAAGCACTGTATGCAGACCAGGTTTTGAGACTTCCAGACTAAGAGCCTCGAGTTCATGATGTGATCCGTCATTGTGATGACTACTGCTTACATACTATTTATGTGCCAGGTTTTGTTGGGTACTTTACACATAATCACTTATCTACTTTACACATAATAACTTATCTAATTCTCACAACAATCATGAGGTGGAGACTTGTCATCATACTTAGCGTGCAGATAAGAAAAAGGAGGCAAACCAAGGTTAAGTAATTTGCTTAGAAGCCAAGGATAAGTAAGAGAAACGAGCTCCGAATACTGTTGCTCTCCACCACCTGTAAGACAACCAAAATGGAATGGAACCGTTTCAAATAATGCCTCTCCCCTCTCTTTGGGAGATATTTTTCCTCTCTTCTGGTTTCTTTCCAAACCTGAAATTAATGCCACCCTCCCAGGCATCCTCAGGGCCCGCGCCCCTCCCGGCTGGCTTCAGAACACACTCTCCTCCCCAAGGTGGAAGACGGGTTAACTGCCAGGTCGCCGGCGTCCCCTAGAGGTGGAGTGGCTCTAAACTTCTGGTGGCCAATGGCCACGATGAATAGAGAATTCTGCCCGATGAGGCTGAAAACCGAGCTTAGGTGGAGCCAGCAGACAGGGCAGAACAGCGGTGCCTACTGTGTGCCGCGGCTGCCAGAGGGAGCCATGAGCTGGACCTGCCCGGGATGCCAGCAACCCGTTTTCTTTGGTGAGGCCGGGCTAGGGAGGGTGGAAGGTGGGTAGGAAATGCTTGGTTCCCTGAGGACGAGAGGGGCTGCTGAAGGTGTGGCCCCAGACCCCGGTTCCACCGGGGGAGTAGCGTTCACGGGGAATGGTGCCGGCCTCCGGGAGACACTCCCATCTCCTCTGGGAAGCCGTGCAGGAGGGGCTGAGGGGGGGAAGTACCACTGGCATTGCTTGGCCGATTCCCTGCAGCCCGGTTCCGCCTTCCCCCCCACGCCCCCCGCCGCCCCCCCCCCCCCCCCCCGCAGCAGAGAAGGTGAGCGCCCTGGGCAAGAACTGGCACCGTTTCTGCCTGAAATGTGAGCGCTGCCGCAGCGTCCTGTCTCCCGGGGGGCATGCAGAGGTGAGGCCCGGCCACCCTGCGTCTGTCACGGTTGCCCAGGCACCAGACCCAGTTTCCAGCCCGCAGGCCCTCAGGAGTCTGCTCCCAAGAGCACTTACCTTGTGTGCTCCACAGCCTGGCCAAGACTTGGGGAGCATGAGTGCTGCTATAGGGTCCATGATTTGGGGTGTGGGGACAGAGGGAAGCAGCACCACTTCCTCACCTGCTCTTGCCCTTGCCCCCTGACAGCAGTGGCCATTTGGGGGTGCTATCCCTCTCCCACCTCTCCCAGCCTCACCAGACCAGGTCCCTGGACATACACAACTGGCAGCTTTATCTTAGGGAAAGGTTTGTGGGGCACAGAAGCCCCTGGGCCCTGATCAACCCTCTTCCCTCTGCTTGTGCCTAGCACAATGGGAGGCCATATTGCCACAGGCCATGCTATGGGGCTCTCTTCGGACCCAGGGGTAAGTACAAGTTTGGAAGGTGGCCAGGGAGCAGCAGAACCCTCCCTGTGAGTAGGAGATGAAAATTCAAGCTTGACCTGCCCTTTTCTCTCAACAGGGGTGAACATTGGTGGTGTGGGCTCCTACCTCTACAATACCCCCCTCCCACCCCTGCCAGGACCATTCCCCTCACCCCCAGCAGCTTTAGCCCCCCCAGACCCAGGACTGGCCTCCCCCAGGGCAAGAAAAGTAAGTAAGATGGTCCCATCTACTTCTCTTGACCCTTATCTAGGCTGGAACTGGGAGGGCTGGAGGGTGTCAGTCTCCCACACAGTCCTCTGCGTCACAGACCTTTGTGCTTCACAAAGTTTTCTCCACTGCCCCTTTTTCTTTTCTTTTTCTTTTTCTTTTTTTTTGAGATTTGTTTATTCATGCATATAAGAACTGGGGTACAGGCCAGATGTGCGGGAGGGTGAGAGGATTCACCAGAGACAGAGTGGGGAGCAGAACAGGCAGACTGATGAAATACACTGCTGAGGGGAGCAGCGGGCGAGCCAGGAGAGGTCTGCTGCGCCATGTGTGTATCTCGACAGCCAGCTGGGATGGAACCTATGCTGCAGAGGCTGTGGGCAGCTTCACAGCGCTGCGCTCAACCTGCCGCGCCCCTTTTTCTGATGTTCCTTCATGTCAGCTCCTGACTTGAGGTTAATTGGGCTTATGACATTATCACCCCCATTTTACTGGTGAGGAGACTGAGATCCAGAGAGGCCAAATGACCTTGTGTGATCACACAGCTGGTCAGCGGCAGCTAGCCTAGAACTCAGGGCTCTCAGGCCAGAACTCCAGAACGATGGAATGAATGACCTAGGAGTGACAGGGCCACTGGGGTGGGGCCAGCCAGCCCCTCACATTCTTCACCTCTTCTCTCTCCCCATTCCTTCCTCCAGTGCTCTGGAGTGAGCACTGATACTGTGCTCCCCAACACCTGACACCCTACCCCTGTCCCCACCAGCTCCCATGTCAGCTCAGGTTTCCTGAGGATTGAGTTGCGGATGGGGTTGGGCTGATGGGCACCTGACCCTCTGGAGGGACAGGAGGAGTCAGGGATCCCTCGGGTAAATAGGGATGGAATAGAAGGTGGCATCAAAAGGAAGTCAGACTCATGGTTGCAGAGTAACGGGCTCCTGGAGGAAGGTGGGCAGTGCTGGTGGGCCTTGTTTAGGTCTGACCCCCACGTCAGCCCTAGCTAGGGCCTCTCCCCCTTAAAGATCCTCCCCACATGAAGACTTTCACTGGGGAGACCTCCATGTGCCCTGGCTGCGAGGAACCTGTCTATTTTGGTAAGTGACAATGGAAAACTTGGGGGGAGGTACATAGGATGGGCATCAAAGGGCAGGGAGGGTGGAGCAAGGCAGGTGGGTCCTCCTGCCCTGCCCCTCCCCTAGAACCACCTCTCTCCACCACCAGCTGAGAAGGTGATGTCTTTGGGCAAAAATTGGCACCGACCCTGCCTGAGGTGCCAGCGCTGCCGGAAGACGTTGACCGCCGGGAGTCATGCTGAGGTGAGCAGGGCAGGATGGGTGCTTAAGTGGAGAGGAGGGAGGCTGGAGCTGGGAAGAGAGCCAAGCTAAGGCAGCTTTCTTTCTCTCTGTGTGTCCCAGCATGACGGCGCCCCCTACTGCCACATCCCCTGCTACGGCTACCTGTTTGGCCCCAAAGGTGGGCAGTCCCATCCCAGACACCAGGCCTAAAGTATGGCATGTACATGGTCTGTGGGGGATGTGTGGACAACTTCCCCTGTGGCCAAACATACCCTGAGCCCTTCCCAATTCCCTGCAGCCCCCAGCCCAGCACCCTCTAGTCCTAAGGTCCTTGGTGATGGGGCTCTCTCCCTCAGGTGTGAACATTGGTAACGTAGGCTGCTACATCTATGACCCTGTGGAGATAAAATCCAAATGAGATGCTCACAGGAGAGGTCACCCTAACTCGGCCTTCCACCATCCCCTCCGTGGTCCAGGAGGAGCTACAGAATTCTCCAGTCCCGTGAGGATGGGGGAAGGTGGGATTCTGGTGGCCTGGGCCTAAGCCCATGGTAGACCAGAATCTAGATTTTCTCTGCCAACTCCTTTCCCATTCTTATCTGGGGACACAGTCCACCCCATTCTGAAGGCTGGCCTCCTGGCCTCCCTAATCCCTTTCCCCAGCAAATTCTGGAACTTCAGGGTATGTAAAAGTTTGTGTTTATTCTCAGCTTCTCTGGCTTCTCCAATAAAATATTGGCTCCCATTCATTTGACTCTTCTTTGGACAGAAGTCCTAGACAGTGGGTTGGAGGGTGGGGAGTGTGGGGGTGAAGGGATGCATTACCCTGCCTAGTGCCTAGGAGGTAGCAGGACCATTCATGGCCACAAAAAGCTCGATACTCCTAGTCCCCTGGTCCTGGCATCGGGCAGCCCCTAGCACCACACAGTAGACAGCATGCCCACGAGCCCTGTTGGTACCAGAAATCATCAGAGGACAAGTCCCTTCTTTGACACCATCTCCAGAGAAGGATCTTGTTCAGAATCTCATTCGAGTGTGACAGCAGATAGATCCTGTGGTGAGGTCTGCTTCATTATCCATTTGAGAGATGAATAGACTGAGATCCAGAGAGGGAAAGCCACTGGCTTAAGGTCACACAGTAAATTAGTGGCAAAGCTGAGATCAGAGTCCAGGGCCAGACTCAATGGCTTTCCATCTATGGCTCTTCCCACAGCTGCTCACCATTGCCCCAACACAAGGGGCAGCTTTATTTACAAAATTACCCCAGCCATGAGAGGAATGCCAGAATTCTCCAGCAGCCCACTTCATCCTGGGAAATCACTCTGTTGTTGGAGGCCAAATAATTAAGGCTGGAGAGCACAGAGAGGGGGCCATTGGTGACAACTCCAGCCCTGGGCAGGGGCTCAGTACCCCCAGCCCTGGTCACAGGGCCTGCCCTCTGCTCTCCCAGCTCCTGCTGCAGCGCTTCTGTGGAGGGCCTGCCCCTGGTCCTACTCAGTCATGGACCTGCTTCATGGACATCTCCTCCTCCTGAAGGCTGGATGGGGCAGTGGAGAGGAAGGAATCATGAGAAATAGCGGGAGAATGTGGGGGTGAGGTAGCCCTCCAAACTACCGCCCCAGCCTGCCCCGTCAGGCAACACACATATGGACTCATGTACACTTTTACATACACAGTTTACATACCCCAGGTCTGCATACTTGCATACATACCCCAATACACGCATGCAGACATGTCTTCTCTGAATCACACCTGAGGTGTTGGGTACCTGAGCCCCTATACCCAAATGTATGTGCTTAAACAGACACCTGTGTACACACCTCTTCTTTTCCACATCCTGGATGGTTTCTGGCAGCTGCGCCTGCCTTGTCTCTGGCAGCAGGAGGGCAGTGCAGGCAGCCAGCAGGGTGATTCCCCCGTAAGCTAGCTGGGGCAGCGATAGCCACACACCATCCAGCAAGGCCGCCAGGGGGGCTAAAGAGCCCCCCAGCCGGCCTACCAGTGCAGTCAGCCCCATTCCTGTCTGCCTGTTCAGAGAGAGAAAGGGGGAGAGGGGTCATGCTCCCCCTACTTGAAGTCATGCTTCATGGGGTTCTTATCCTAGGCTGGACAGAGCCCCTTCTACCTAGACAGCTTAGAAACCTGAGTCCTCTCTCAGATGGTCTTCCCATCCATCCCCAGGCCAGGGATCTCCAAGCCAGCCCCCACCAGAGGATGGGGTCCCCCTTCTGGGAGAGGACAGTGAGGTGCCACTGAAAGAGAAGAATTCTCTGTTCAGCAAAGAATGGGGATGAAAGAAGGGTAGTATAGAAGGAAGAGGGTCAGCAGCTCCTTGAGGCCCTGCGCTGTTAGAAAAGGCACAAGGCTTTGAGAAGCAGTAAGTTGCCCACAGGCCTGTCCCACCTGACAAGTTATCTGAAAGGACCCCAGGTCTTACACCCAGAGAAAACCCCCCGGACAGCTCTGCCTGGGCTGTGGTGAATGAGATGGGACAGGCAGGACAGGGCTTTTTCTGACTGTTTTCTTGTTAAGGAGTTCCCAAAAGGGGGGTCTGACCCTGCTCAGGTCATTTAGTAAACAAAAACCTCCACCTTCTCCAGACTTAGGCCAACAGGGATGGCTCTGATTAGCTCTGAATTTCCCAGCTAGGGTAAGAAATGGGTGAGAGGGACTCGGGGGCAGTGCCTGTATGTGGGGGTGTTCTTAAGAGATGTGACTAGCAAGCCCTCCCCTTAGGCGGGTTGCCAGGACCCAGGCGCCCCCTCACCTGAGCACAGTAGGGTACAACTCCGAAGTGAACAGGTAGGCAGTAGTGAAGGCAGCTTCAGAAAAACCTTTCCCCATCACCGCCAGGGCGGTGCTCCAGGACCCCATTTCTGGAGGTAAAGGGGCCAGGCAGTGAGTGGGCCTTTGTGCAGGGCCCAGGGCTCCTGGGATGGGTGGTGTAGCCTCTCAGTGGGCAGAAACTAACTCTTTGAGCAAGGCTTCCGGGACAGGGAGGGGGGTGGAGGTGGACTTCTTGGCCAGGAGGAGGGGCCTCTGACGGGGCTCACCAGAGGGAAGCAGCATTCTGATGCCCAAGGCCAGGGCAGTGCCCAGCAGCGTTCCCGCCTGGGTGAGGCGGCGTCCCACGTGGCGCACCGACAGGTAGACCAGCAGCTTGGAGGGCAGCTCCACGGCCCCGAACAGCAGCTGCGTCTGGTACACGTTCAGTCCCAGGCCTGACACATCCAGGCTCAGGCCATAATAGGAGAAGTTTACGCCAAACCTGAGGACGCATGGGGCTCACAGGGTGGCTCAGGGAGCCCTGGCCTTTTAGAGGGACCGCCTTCCTCACCTTCAGAGCCTACTCCCTGGGACCTGCCCTGTCCCATAATGCCCCTGAGTATGCAGCACTTGCTAGTGGCCACAGCCCCTTTAAACTTCGTAGCAGTCTGATGCGATCTGAACTCAGTGCCCCATTACAGCAGGGGCCCCAGGTTCCAAGTACTAAGTGGCCTGTCCACAGAGGTCTCACAGGAAGGAGGCGGCAGTGTCTAGATTTGAACTGACCTGTCTCTGATGCCTGCTGCCTTTTTTTTTTTTTTAAATATTTATTTTATCTGGGCCTCCCAAATAAAATAGGTTGCACAAGGGGTTAAGACGCAACCTATGAAGCTGTCCGCAGCCACTGCAGCACGAGTTCAATCCCTGGGAGGTACCCACATGGTGCAGCAGACCTCTCCTGTCTCACCCGCTGCTCCCCTCAGCAGTGTATTTCAATCAGTCTGCCTGTTCTGCTCCCTGCTCTGTCTCTGGTGAATCCTCTTACCTACCACACCTCTGGCATGTACCCCGGTTCTTGTATGCTTAAGTAAATAAAATAAATTCTTTTTTTTTTTTTTTTTTTAAAAAGGAGGCCCTGGCCTCCTTCCTGTGAGACCTCTGTGGACAGGTCACTTAATACTTGGAACCTCGGGCCCCTGCTGTAATGGGGCACTGAGTTCAGATCTCATCGGACTGCTATGAAGTTTAAAGGGGCTTTGGCCACTAGCAAGTGCTGCTTTTTTTTTTAAAAAAAGATTTATTTATTTATTTGTTTGTTTATTTATACAAGAACTGGGGTACAGGCCAGAGGTGTGGGGGGCTGAGAGGATTCACCAGAGACAGAGTAGGGAACAGAACAGGCGGACTGACTGAAATACACTGCTGAGGGGAGCAGCGGGTGAGACAGGAGCGGTCTGCTGCGCCATGTGGGTCACCTCCTTGGCCATGGATAGAACTCATGCTGCAGTGGCTAGCAATAGCTTGAAATCGCTGAGACTTTAACCCCTGAGCCACCAGGGAGGCCCGCCTGCTGTATCTTGACCTTCCCCAGCCTGATCTCCTCCAGCCCCCATCATCTTGCCCACACCCTCTCCCGGTCCCCCTCCTCACCACACCACCATGCAGCACAATGAGATGTGTCGGAGCCGTGGAGTCCGGAACAAGTCTAGGTACGAGGGTCTTCGAACCACGCGTTCCCCAGCTGCCACTTTGCTCAGAGCCTGTTGGGGTAAGAGGACAGTTTGTGACATCAGAGTTGTCTGCATGTCCATACTAAGGCATATTGCTCTCTGTGTCTCTGTTCTCCCTTCTGCTGTAGCAGGGGTGGGGCTGCACTCAGGGTTGAGTAGGATGGAGGGTTGTAGACCACCAGAGCCAGGTGGGACACCCTAAAGTTTAGAACGATCCACTGGTCACAGGGAGTTTTTCCGGCACACATAGTAGGCCCAGGATGGGGTGCTTGATACAGGCCACAAAAACACATACTCATCCTCACCTCCCGGCTTAGGCCATGTTCACCAACGGAGCGCCTATTGAGCCTGGCACAGCGGAGCAGGTACCTATGGGCCTCTTCCACGCGGCCCTGGGTCAGAAGCCAGCGCGCTGACTCAGGCACCCACCTGGGGGACGGCAGGAGGCCCTTCAGTCAGAGTCAGGACCCTAAGTCATGTCTCCCTCCTCGGCACCAGCCGTCAGCCCCAGGCTCTTGCTCACAGTCCCCTCAACCTGGAGCACCTTTCCAGGCCCCGCTCCTCTGATGGACTGCCATTCAGTCTTTGAAACCCATTTAAAAGCCACCTCTTGCCACATTTCCTTGCTCAGGCTTAGGTCTCCACAGCCTGGATTCCCTTCCCTGCTCAACTGAACAGGCCTCACCCCTAAGACAGCCTCTAGCACCAGCCATCCACTGGTTCCACGGGTGGCAGGAAGACGTAAAAGGAAGGAGAGATTGATGTCCAGAGACACATCGAGAGGCGTCATTCAAAGCCAGTTCATTTTGGGGAGGCAATGAGATGTCCACCCCACCTGGTCTCCCGCCTCCTGCTGGGAACACCACCCCCCCACCCCCCACCCCGCCACACTGCACCCATAGGGGCCCTGCCCCGCCCCCACCCTTCCAAGGGACCCTCCTCAGTTTGCTCTTGGTTTGTCTCTCCATCGGTCCCTCGTGTCACTCATGTGTCCATTTCCATCTGTCCCTCTGAATCTGCCTTTTAGTCTGGGCCTGTCACTATTCTGACCGGTTCTGCCTCTCCATCTCTGCCTCTCAATATTTTGTTCTCTGTTCCTCTGCTGCTCATGTCTGGTGCCATCTTCTTTCTGTTGGTCTGACTCTTTCTCTCTCTGTCTCTTTCGGTTTCTTGGTCATGGACCATTTCTTTTCATCTCTCAGTCTCTCTCTCTAGTAATCTCAATATCTGGTTAATTCTGTCTCTGGCTTCCTATCTCTCCCATTTCCCAGCTGCCCACAGGCCTCACCAGAGGCTGAGGATGCCTGGGGCACAAGGCAGGGTGACAGCCAGCAGAAGCCATCGCCAGTCCCGTATCAGGTACCCGACCAGTGCCAGCAGCATCACACCCCCTGTCCAGAAGGTGCTGCTCAGGACACCTGCCACGGTGCGGTGTCCCACGTCCAGCCACTCCAGTTCTGGGCCCAGGGCAGGGCCGGAGACAGGAAGACAGTTAGCAAGGGCCAGAAGGGCTCAGCCTCACCCTTGACCACTGCCTCCCTCCAGCCCTCTAGGTCCCGCCCATTCTTTGCCTGCCTCACCCAGGGGCATCACGATGATGGTGAAGCCAGCCAAGGCTGTGCCAGTGAGGGTGCGGGTGATGGCGAACATGGTGTAGCTAACTGAGGCCGCAGATGCCAGGCCCAGCACCAGGGCACTCACATAGGCTACCAGCAGCAGACGGCGCCGCCCATACCTGCAAAGGGATGGTGCAGGCTTAGCTCCCTATGGCCCCAAAATGAGGACTAGGCCCACACCACAGGTAGGGGGAGAGGAGGGCTCCCACCCACTCCCTTATTAGCCCCCACACCTCACCCCACCTGTCCGCGAGGTATCCGAAGGCCACAGCCCCCACCAGCACACCAGCGAAGAAGAAGGTGGAAGTGGCTCTGTTCAGGCCTTTCCGCTCACACACCAGGTCCCACTGCAGGGACAGGCAGGGAGGGGCCTTCCGTGGGCACAGGCCCTTCTCCAGGGGCACCAACCCTGCTTCTCCATACCCTGGGACCTCCTGAGGTCAGTGGTGCCACCCTGGTACCTCCATGCCAGATAATAAACCCCTAACTATTCACCCCAGCTCGTGGGTGGGAGACTTTGCCCCTCCTGAACCTGCAGCCTCATCTTCTCCCCGAGGAGGGCCTTTGCCATGGCAACAGGAGTCCCACTCTGTCCCTGAGAAACTTGCCCCCCTGCACTAGCCTCCAGATGAAGGCCACCTGTCCCACCCCCACCTCTACTGCAGAAATGCCCTTCTCAACTGTGTGCCCCAACTCCCTGGACCCTTCTCAGCCCTTCCCTGCCTGAATCACCTCCCAATTAACAACAGCAGCTCCAAGTAGGGGTTCCTTACCACAAACCAGGAATTTAGCTCAGAGCTTTAAAGCCACAGGCCGCCATCAACGGAGGTAAGCTGAGACTCTTAAGAGGCAGTGTGTCTAATGCCCACATAGCAATCACCCAAGGCAATGACGGACCCGTCCCACTCACGTGTCCCCCAAACTCCTGGCTGGGTACCTCAGTCACAATGGTGGAGGAGAACTCCGAGCTGTTGTACTCCCAGCCCTGAGGGCAGGGCTCTGTGGAGGGCTCACCCTCCAGCTCCCCAGGACTCTGCTCCCCTCCCCACAACGTGGTGTTGGGGAGGGCCCTGGGGTGGGAGAAGCGCAGGCAGGAGCTGAGGGTGCCGTCAGGCTCCCGGGGCAGGTGGGCCTCTAGCCATGCTTCCTGGTGGCTGATGTTGGCCGGGCTCCCAGGCAGGACACAGCGGTGGGCAGGCACGGCCGCCAGGAAAATGGGCAGGAGGAAGTGCATGGGCAGCAGCACGCGGGGCAGAGCCAGCAGGGCCACGTTCCACAGCTGGAAGGGTCCAAAGCCGCCCACCTGGTCCAGCAGCTCCTCGAATCCCATGCTGCCCGCCCACCAGCCGTCCCCAAGGCCTCCTGCTGCCTCTGCAGTGCCCAGCACTGCTCAGCCCACCCACCACCTAGACCCTTGGACTCTGGAGGGGGGAGTGGATAGACTGATGAATGGAGAGCCTGCAGGCAGAATCCAGCCCTCAGGGGCTGGCCCAGGACTGGGCCCTCCCCAGCCAGCCAGTCTCCAGGGATCCCTGCCTGAAAGGCCAGTGCTGGGGGAGGAGCTGTCATCCATTTCGAGGTCACCGACTCTGTGGTCTGGGACTTAGATCTCTTAGGGCTCGGGACCAAGTGGGGCAGCCTTGGGCCACGATGAAGGCAGCTGAGCATGTGGGAGGTGAGCCAGAGCCCCTTGGTCAGTAGAGCACCAAGCACCCTAAGAGGAGGAGGCTTCTGGGGCACGGTACCGGCTCTCCCTGGATGCCCTTTGTCTTACCAAGTCTTTGGTCAGCCTTGCCTGGCTGGCAGCCCAGGAAGAAGACTGAGGGCCAGGTCCTGACCGGGAAGAGGGTTCTTTCTGATGAGCCGCGAAGCCTCCCTGTAGCTTACGCCCTGTTCGGAGATACCTGGGATTACACAGATGGCCTGGCCTGGCCTCTGGGGCGGGGGGTGGGGGGAGTGGGGTGGCTGGGGGGATGGAGGGGGATTTCCCATGCCCAGGCACCTCCCTCTTCCACACACAGGTGCTCTTTCCCTATACACAGTCCCCCCCATCTGCCCTCTGCTCCTGCTTTGCTACCTGGATTATCCTGGGGGGCTGGACAGGGGCCAGAGGAGGAGGGGCCATGCCAAGGTCCTGCCATAGTACCTGCACCGCCTGACACTCAAGATTTGTCTGGCCTTCCCACTCACCCCGCATCATAGCCCCTGCAGTCACCGCACTGGCCGCCAGCACCACCGGCTTTATTCTGCTGATTCTCCAAACGCCGGGCTGCCAGAGCGGAGAGGTTGTCAAATTGTGTTCCAAGGACTTCAGATTTCTAAGCTAATGGACTTCTAAAGGTGTTCTTTGAGAAAAGACCAAGTTGAAAGTGTTTGAAGAATACTAATTTAATCTAGCCCCCACTTAGAACAAATAAGGAAATGGGAGCAGAGGGTGGGGAGAAGGGGGTGGGGAGACCCACAGTGACTCAGCAGCAGAGTTGAAGAGAGAACCCGGGCCCCTCACTTGGGCACAGGCCTTGGACCCACACCGCTGAGCTGGAGCTCTTCCAGGGGGCAGCGGGCTGGTGCCCCAGGAAGCTCTGGGATCCGGCGTGAGCTTAGGTGGTGCTAATAGGCGTGGCGGCGGAGGCAGTGATCTGGCGGTGGTAGCAACGGCCATTAAGGGAAGAGACCTGTTGAGTCTCCAGTGCATCACAAGACTTCCTTCCGGGGAAACATGCCTCTCACGTAGACCCTGTCCTCAGCGGGCTTACAGTCGCGCAGGAGGGCTAAAACAAGTGACACCTTCGTCCTGCCTTCAATCTCACCCCCCCAACCAATTTCACACGGCTGCCCCAAGGGAAAAAAAAAATTTTTTTATTGTTTTAAACATTTTTTTAAAAAGATTTATTTAGTTATACATACAAGAACCGGGGTACAGGTCAGACACACGGGAGTGAGAGGATTCACCAGAGACAGAGCGGGGAACAGAACAGGCAGACTGACTGAAATACACTGCTGAGGGGAGCAGCGGGCGAGACAGGAGAGGGCTGCTGCACCCTGTGGGATTCTCGCTGGCTGGCTGGGGTCAAACCTGCGCTGCAGACGCTGTGGACAGCTTCACAGTGCGGTGCTCAACCGCCTGCGCCACCAGGGGAGGCCCTCAAGGAAAATTTTAAACCAAATCTGACTTGGTTTAAAACCCTCCACCAGCTCCCACTGCTGGAAGGTGAAAATTCAGCTTCTCAGTCTGGCTATAGGACACCCCCAAGACTGGCTCCTCCCCCCAGGTTGTCTCTGGTCACTCCCCACCTCAATGCAGCCCCTTGTGCAGCACTGGCGTCCCTTTTATTCACCTGGTGAGTGTCCAAGCCATCTGGAGACCCACTCAAGGGTGAGAAACCTCCTTGTCCTCCAGCACTCACCCACCTGCGACCCCCACATGTTTGTTCCTTCCTCGTTTACTACTATATAATCCTGTTGCTTACATAAACATATAAAATACCACAGCACTTCGCATCTCCCGTGGGGTAAGTTTTGCAGCCACCGCATCAGCTCCATGGCCCATCCATGGGAATACCATGAGAGCAGATTCCCTCTCTCAGAGAGAGCGTGAGAAATAACGTGATATAGTGGTCCCTTCTCCCTCTTGGCATTGGCTCCTAGGAAACTCAAATCTAAATCAGCAGCCCCTTTCCACAGGGAGTAAGTTGGCATTAATAGTCCCCTGGCTCCCTCTCATCCCCGCCTCCACTCCAGATGGCAGCTCTCTTGATGGCATCAGCAGTGGTGGTGAGATGACCACGATGTCTGGAGGCAGATGGTGGACAGGAAAGGTAGGAAACACCGAGTGTCCAACCACAGAGGACAGATCAGCTCTGAATCACCACTTAAGGGCTGCTGCTTCTGATTACATTTTTAGCCATTCCCATCCGCCTCCAAACTGCAAATTCAAACTTGAGTTCAGTAGCCAAAGTCGTCTGAGTCTAGGGCTAGAGGAAGGAGCCTTGTGCACTGGCAGAATTACTCCTTAGTTGAAATGACTCTTAGAACTGCTGAGGATTCCCTCTGTGTGTTGCTTGCAAAAGGACTTCTTATACTTTAGGACTTTTTTTTTTAAGCTCTATTTGATTTATTTATGCATACAAGAGCTGGGGTACAGGCCAGAGGTGCTAGGGGGTGAGAGGATTCACCAGAGACAGAGTGGGGAGCAGAACAGGCAGGTTGACCGAAATACACTGCCAAGGGGAGCAGCGGGCGAGACAGGAGAGGTCTGCTGTGCCATTGGCCAGGGATCGAACTCATGATGCAGAGGCTGGCGATAGCTTGATAGCACTGAGACTTTAGCCCCTGCGCCACCAGGGAGGCCCTACTTTAGGACTTTTAACTCCATTCAGTGGCCAAGATCCTTCCCATTTTAGTTGGGCTTTCACTGACTCTTAAACATCACTGCACTGATGATGGTGGTAGTGAGGGGATTGACTGGAGGTGAGTTTGGTGATAGGATGGTGCAGTGGCGATGGGGCGGGTCTAGCAATGGTTGAAGAGAAGCTAATGTGGTGATGGGATGAGGGCTTTGGGACTAGGGATGTGGTTAGGAGGGCAGTGGATTATGTAGTAGAGGATACAGATGCTGGCGTGGGTGGGGGTAAGGGTTCGTGATGCCGGTGCTGATGGTGGAGGAAATGATGGTCACGATGAAGACGTGTAAGTGAATCATGTCTCTCCTGTTATCAGAGCCTAGTGGTGGTGACGGTAATGGTTTGGAAGGAGAGTGACTGTGATCTGACAGGTGAGGCGCTGGTCATGTTGGGTAGTGGAGTCGGAGTGAGTAATGGAGATAGAGGTTGTGATTGTGATAAAATTGCCGGTGATGGTGGTGGGTGATGTCACACCTGTGGGCTTAGCAGCACATGGAATGCAGAAGAGATGCCACCTGGAGCCGATGACCATGAACTCGCATCATGTTCCCCTCTGACCCATGACCAAATCCACATTACCGTGTAGACTCTCTTCCCCATCGCCTCATCTTGGGCCACTGAGGTTGCTGAGGACAGGCTCCTGAGCTGCTGAGGACTCTAAAGGTCACGGTGACCATCCCCTGTATTGACTTGGTCTCTGTTCTATTCATGGCCTGGACTCCTGAGATTTTCATCAGCACCTTATGGTGATACAACGCCCTCCACAACCCGACCCTACTCTCTTTTCTCCCAAATGTCCTCAGGGGCCCATCTCTACTAATGAAGCCCCGCCAATGTCCCTGGTCTTGAGGCCCCACTTAGATTCTGACTGAGCACCCTGATTTTTCAAGTCACTTATTTCTCTGTGCCATCGTCTTCTCTTGGCCACAGGACAGAAAAGAGAAATATTTTTCTGGGGGAGAATGGGGAGAAGGTCCACCGGAGGCTAGGCAGGTCTTCAGCTATAGAGCATAAGGTAGGCCTGACAACCAAACTGGGCCTCAGGAGGTGGGTATGGCTGTCAGCTATCAGGCTCCTGGGAGAGGGGGCGACTCCCTCAAGTTGTCCTCTTGGTATAATCTACTCCTGCCCCAGACCTGGTCCCCCACTCCTTCACTTCTTTCTCTGCTCCCTAATTTACACCTATGACCATCACACTGAATGACACCTCCACACCTCACCCACACTGCTCCCTCCATCAGGAATGTCCTCTCCTCTTCATCTGGCCAACTCCTGTTTGTCCTTGAAAGTTCAGTCTGAGAGTCATATCCACCTGAGTGCCATCCCTGAAGCTCCCACTCTGGGCTGGGAGTCCCTGTCTGAGCCTCTTGTATCAGCTCACACAAAGCTCTCACATGGCCCACATAAAATGAAAGTTAATCTATAACCACCCCTTGAGGGCACGCTTTGAGTTCCTGCACAGTGCCCAGTGTCTAGCTGGACCTCTGGGACATGTTCAGCACTAGTCTGAAGAATTAAGCATGCATGAATAACTGAAGGAATGCTAAATCATGAATGAATAATTTGTGGCTTTCTTTCATTTAATCTCAACAACAATAAAAGAAATTTAAAATAGAAGAAGCTGGTTTTTATCTCTGATTATTCTTGAGATCTTTCTTAGAATTAGACTTGCAGAAGTAAATAAGAGATTAGAGCCAGGATGTTAACTTTGGCACTATTTGAAATAGTGAAAAGTTGGAAAAAATCTTATGAAAAATCAATGTAGAGTTGGTAAAATAAATGGTGGCACAGTCATGCCATGGAATACTATGTAGCCGTTAAAAAGAACTTGATGATCATCATACATTATTGGTGGGAATCACTGTGGAAAAGTTTGATAATTCTTCAAAATGTCAAACATAGAATTCTCATATGAGCCAGTAATCCTACTTCTAGGTCTCTATCCAAA